CCTAAAACACATGGAAACTGATTTTCTGAATTGTCCAGTTGACTCTGCTTATACATATTTGATTGGTCCTGCTGAAGTTTTCCAACGCCTACATCCGTTAAATTAATTTGAACACCTGTGTCTGTGATATGAATTCTCCACTGCCCACGCTTTCTCCACTTTCAAACATCACCATTACGTGCATAGGAAAATATAAAACCCTGACTTAGTTAATATGTATTTTTGTCACTGGGAACATTTTTACATCAGGGAGGATTTGTTTGTGTGTTTGAACGCTTGTTGCACACATCACCATGTTGCCAACCATACTGGCAACAAAATCATCCCACTAGCAATTATTTTAATTCCAACTCTAATTATTTTTGCAAACTGTGTCCTCTGAAGCAGCAGTTGGAAAGATTTCAGTCCACCGTGGATTTGGTTATTGCCCTTTCTGGGTTGCATACTGGCAAAAATCCAACATATACCAAGGGTGTCCCTGTAAGCTGTGAAGGGATTTCAATATTTGTACAAGTCTTAGATCCTGCCTCTCTTCTGTAGTTCAAGGCTTATGTAACACCAAGGCGTATGTAACACCAATAAGTCTTGTTGCTAGCTAATATTATTTCACACATTCTTTCTTCCAATGTGACATCCCCATGTGTTGTCTTGAAAGAATAAATTATTACAAAACTGCAATAGTTCCACAGTTTAATAACCGTGACCAGGGCTAGTGTGAGAGTTAAATATCTCACACTAGCCCTGGTCGCAGTAATTCAGAATTGGTGCCGTTATACTTTTGCACCACCTTAATTCACAAACATTTTATTGTCTGTATTTTTGTCACTTCTATGAATGATGATGCTACAGGATGTTTGTGTAAAGGCAGGATTTAGATGCACCATTTTGCATGCAGAGTTTAGTTACATTTTATGATAGGCAGGATTTATGAGCACCATTCTGCATCCCTAATTGTATTATTTATTATCATTGCCCTGCAAAGATAGCACTGTGTGTTGATGGAAGACGTGTGTATACGTACAACATTCAGCAGCATCATTTAGTTACACTTCATTCAAGCTTATTGTGTGTGTTGTATAACTTTTTTGCATTCCCCATTTAACTGCACTCGGAATAAACCCTTTTTTTCTTAAAGTTACTTGTATGTGTGTGGTTGTTTATAATACTTTCAGAGGCAGAGTTTGTATATTTTCAATGTAACTAAAATGTCTTGTAATGAAATGTAATATGACCATGTTTCTGTGTGTTTCTCCTCAGCACTTTGCGGTTTGGTATCCACAGTCTGGTTTCCCATCGGTGCTCACCAACAGCACGGCCTCATGTCATTCGGCTTCTCCCTCTACACCGGATGGGTGGGCTCTATCTTCTCCCTGCTGGGCGGGTGCATTCTCACCTGCTGCTCCTCAGAGTCCTCCTCCTCATCTCGCTCCTACCAGGAAAACAATCGTTTCTACTACTCCAAACAAGGCGGTGGCAACCCGCCAGCAGCAGCCTCCACCAATCACGCCAAGAGCGCCCACGTCTGAGAGGGGAGAGATTTCTGAAGAGGACGCCTAGGGGACTGTAGTTTATGTACAGATACATTTACACAAGCACAGACATACACATACGATCACAGTTACAGGCATAGAAGAACATAAACACACCCATTCACGTTCAAGAAAAATACACAAATCTTGAATACATACATAAAAGAGACATTCACACATACACAAAGACTGTTTTTGTTGGAGCTTTTGGGGATTGTTTTTGCATCACAGAGCTCATCTCTCCGCCTCCTCGTGTTAGGCGTGGTGTGGACTCTCCCTGCTGTTAAATAGTTCTACAAGCTCCTGTGTGCACAGAAGCCTGAGGTCCCAATCACCTAAGACATTAAGGGCTGAGATATTGACCTTCTACATTTCTTATATTTTTCTATTTAGATCCTCCTACAGATGAAATATAATGTGTGTTTCCCTTGTTTGAAAAATCATATATCATGGTCTGTTGTTTTGATAAGAGCAGGGTATGACAGTATTACGTTTGTATTTGAAAATGTGTTCAGTAACATTATTGATTTTTCTTTGACAGTATTGTACAACTCTCTAGTGCCTCTTGACTGACCGACTTGATTAAAAAACGCAGCACTGTTTTTCCCAGCCTCTGCAGGATGAAGGCGACATAAATAACACAGCATGTAGCCAGCCGTGTTACAGTCTGTATCGGAGCCTTAATATGTGCACTGACTTGGCAAAAATGACTTATAAGAGAGTACAAAACCTTATCTTTTGTTGATTCCTCACCCATCTTAGTAGTTTTTTATAAACCAATGCTTACATATTCTAATGTGACTAACTTTTTTTATTTGAATAACAGTGAGTGAAAGACCAAAAAGCAGCTTACCTTTCAACTGTATAATTATCAAACATCTTTACATAGAACAGGTCTGTAGCTGAAAGAATGTCTGTGTGCACCAAAAGATATCAGTATTATTTTAGAGGTATTAGCTTCTCTTGAAGGAATGTGATGACTTGATTTCACAAACGTGTTCTGAACAGTAATGGAAAACTCAGATCCATGCAGAAGCAGTATTAGTATAGTAGGTTATTTATTGTTTCATTGATGTGCTTTTCTTTGATTTTCTATAATAAAGACAATGTAATTAAAAGTGCCTTTGTCTTGAGTGTGTCACGCTGAGTCGACAAGATTTTCTAACCCCGTGAATCCATTTTCTTTAATCTATCTGGTTGTTAATATTAAATAAAAACATGATACAGTAAGTTAGCGTTGTGTGTGTGTGTGATACAGCAATCACTGCCCTGCTGTGTTTGGTATATGTTTCCCTGTTTGTGTGAATATAAGCTGAGAACAATGAGAAAAACATGAATGGTATTTACGCACCATATCTGTAATGAGACTCAGTGACCTTGTGTCAGGTCAGCACAGAGGAATCTGTCTCGGACACTCAGCGATACACACTGTACCAGCCCTCCCCTGCTAACCACAACACACACACACAGCAACAAAGAAAGAGAATTGTGTTCAGCGTGTGGTTCACTTTGTGCTCCTTTGTTCATATCAAGGTCGCTGAGTCAAATCCTAGATATTTCATGATACTTTTCAAAACAATATTTGCTATCTCTTCTCTTTGTCCTCAGCTTATCTTCAGACAACCACACACAGCCGTCTTTCCTTTCTGCACATCATTCCTGAAAATGTATCAGGATTTTGCGATCATGTCGGTGTGTGTGTATACTCTGAAATGTGATGCTGTTCGAGGCACACAGCCATCCCGTCCACAGGAAGCCAGGGGAAGGATAGTGGCTAACCAAGCGGTCCTATATTACTGTAAGAGACTGGCGCTGTTATTATACGCTATGCTAAAAAGGTGCTATCTTTAGTTTCTATCTACCAATATGTTTTATTGTTGACTCAAGTTTGAACAGAGATTCAGGACATTATCATACACAAACACTAGTCCTCTGTGATATTCCTTTCCAGCAATTATGTTTTGATTAAGTATTTTACTTTTCTGTATCCACAGTCCTTCCACCTGACTTGTGTATTTCTACTTCGGTGTACATTTCTGTTTCATTTCCCAGAATACCGTTTATCAACACCCAGATAACTCCCATGACCGTCTCCCCTCCGGATGTGTGGGAGGTGAGAAGAGAAAATCATAGCAATCATGTTAGAGGAATACAGCAAGTTTTAACAGTTGAGAGAGGGAGAGTCGAGCCCTCTGATATAAACTCATGTGTTGTGTTCTGGTTTATTGAAGTGCCGGTGGACAAATAGGGTTTTTTTGCTCTAAGAATTTGTAGTTTTGTGAAGAATCAATATAAACCACTGTTCTGAGTGAAAGACATCACAGCTTTCACTCTCGGTTAACAAAATTGTACAATAACTGTGCTGCTTAACTCAAAGGGATGTTATACCATCTATGAAATAATTGTGTTAAAGGTTTGACCGTGCAAATTTGACTGGGAAAGATGCAGTGAACAACTTGAAGCTTTTGTAAAAAGCCAGACAATAATATTGAAGGTGCTCTGCTGAGTATTTCATAGACATTGAGGTCCATCAAAAAGGTTGAATGCATTGCATTCCTCATAAAGCATTTGCACAACTTTCCTTAATAGTTTGAACCCTGTTTTGTTAGGATTCATGTTTACTTGCCTGTTGTCTTCCTTATTGCCTTTCATGACATGTGACTGCCACCTGTTGATCAGTGTGTAGAAAGAATCCTTTGGCTTGAATGTGTATCATGCCAACCAACGAATCTGGGATACACACTTTGTTTTAAAGGTCACCTATTATGCAAAATCCACTTTTTCATGTCTTTTCTACATCAACATGTGTCCCCTCTGTGGAAGGAGATTCTGAAAGTTTCAGGAAAAAAGATTAGCTCACTTTTTCTCCAGATCCATTTATATAAAAACCTGTCTGAAAAAGAGCTGATCACATTTTGGCCACTTTATGTCATAACGATGTTTGGCTTGTGTAACCATTAGCCAATCACCAACCAAGGTAACACTTCAGAGACATGTTTTGTATATATCTAAGAACTATAATAAAGAAATGAAAAACAGTATAATAGGGGACCAATGGTGCTAGAAGCTTGGTGGTGTAGTGACTACTCTCAGTGATTGTGCTGTTATATATGTGTTGTGATGCAAGTCAAATGTCAGACTTGATCTGACCGTTAAAGTATTATCGTATCGTATCGTACCCACAAGGATGTTAGCAAGCTAGTAGGAACATGCTTGGGCTCAGTAGCATTACCTCTCCAAGCTAGCTGGCTCAGGAAGGTAGCTAGCTTGAGCACCAACCAAAGTGGAAGATGCTAATGGGCTAATGTTAGCTTGTACTGTTTTCGACTGTCCGTCTCTTTTTCTTTCAAGTCTAGCCCTGGTCTAGCTGGTCTGCTGTCAGTAATATGAGTGATTTATTATGTCATTGTATATCATGTATTGTCATTGTAATTGTAAGCACAGAAAACGTTCAAAAAATGAGCAAGCCTCTTTGTATTTGCAATAAATAGCTTTCATTGTCGCATGGAAGCAATAACAACTCAGCAAAAAACAGTGCAACCAGGAGCAAATATAACCACACATATGGAAGAAACCATTACAAAAATGTACATACAAAACAACTACATTATACAGCTTTGTGCCAAAATATACAGAAGAGTAAAGGAATATCTATTTGTTTGCAAGAGAAGCCAACCTCAACAGTCTGACACACACTGAGTCGACACTTGGCCACAGCGAACACAGAGCACAAGAAGAACATGGCACTCCTTCTCCGAGAGAAAATAAACAAATAGTAGCTGACTTTCAAAGCAATGGTGGCAAAATTGGATTATGCTTGTATATTCTCCCTTTAAAGGATTGTATTAAAATAGTTTCTGCATGTTTTCTGTAGTATTTTCCAAACCTTCTATGTTCCTATTGACGTCAAAAGAAACCATTTTTCGAAACCCTTGAAAGTAAGGGATTAAGCTTTATAAATGAGCCTTATCACTACAGACTACACTTGTTAAAAATATACTGCAGCAGTTTCTCCCAGGCCTCCTTATGACTTAACACAAATGGAGAAGGTGAATGCTGATATTGATAACCCTACCCAGCTTTTGTTGTGCACACCTACTCGAGGAGGACCTGTGGATGGGAAACAGTTGTAGAAAAATACTTTTTTAATGTTTCTTTTTACTTTTGGACAAACTGATCCGCTGTAGTCAATTAAATCTAGACTAATACTTAGCAACTAGGGTTTTAAAAATCATCATTGCACTGTTGCTTGTGACAAGAAAAACATCTCCTTGTGACAAACTGAAATCAGTAGCTTATTAGCAGACCACCAAGCAAAAATGGTTACCTCTTTTGTATCTTAAGTGGTTACTTTGAAGAAACTAAAGTCTCCTGTGTGTGATCAGTAAACAAAAAATGGTGGACTTTGGTTTGCAGAAGTTTTGGTTAAGAAAAGGGATTTACAGGAAGTAGGCATACTGTAAGGGAGGGTGAGAGAGGAGTCATTGTCACACCTTGTTTGTTGCTACATGTTCTACTACCTTTTCAGGAGGAGCCCTGGTTCCAATTTCTATGTGAGAATATTACTGTGTGAGCTTTAAGAAATAGGAGAGAATCCAGAAAATAATCTTCTAAGCCGGTACAATTCAAATTGTAACATAAAGAAAAGGTCTGGGTTTGAATCTGAATCTAAATCATAGGAGTCTGCATTGTATACAGCATTCAGTTCACTCGCTGAGAGTTTAGAACAATGAGGTTTTTGAAGCTGCTTCGCTTGTATTACACCTGTTAAATCTTCTCAGAGCAGAGAGGCCAGCGCTCCCAGGTGTAAGAAGTAGGCCTGCGTTTGTTTTGGTTTAGTGTTGTATTATGTCTCGCAGCGCTCAGTCACCACATGCAGAAACAACATTTATGGTCAGAGCCTCATGCATGAAAGCATGCTACACATTCACCACAGGGTCACATTGAGGCGCAGGCATAGATCACACACACTGTACATGCACTCACACACTTGCATACACACACACAGCCGGTAATAGGCTATGGTAGGTCGACTGTACAGTACAGTGTCGAAGTGTCAGGCTGTATTTGCTGCCTTGTTTTGGCTGAACACATATTTGAGCTATGAATGAAAACATCTGGATTGTTTTAGCTGAGATGAGGCGATCTGGGTGGAGGGAATAGTTGAATATAATGTAATAAATGCTTGAACTTGTGTGAGATAAAGTGTGTGAATGTTTAAGGATGTGCTGTTTTTTTCCAACCCCGGAAAAAAACTTTAATATTGGACAATTCTGCAAGACCTCAAAATATGTTCAATGGCAATAACTTTTTAAATATAATATCTACAATCCAAATGCATAGCAACAACTATTTGATATTATGGTTTTGGTATTTGGGACAACACCCGACTCCCCTGCTGTACTGAGCTTGATGTTTCTTTGTGCCAAAATATAAACTACATTCGCATAACAATCTCTTTCTCTATGTCCTTCCTAACTGTCTACACTACAGTAAAGGTTACATAGGCTACTATAACAAATGACTTCCGAAATATGTTTACATTAAAAGAAGGCATTACAATTGTATTACTAAGAGCTATAGCAACAATTTCAAAAATACTAGTCATGAGTCCAAGTCCCCCAAAACGCAGTCTTATCCTCTCTGACAATTTTGACAAGACACCAAAAAGAAGTATATACTTTTTTATTTTGTTTTCCATAAATATGTATTTCGCTACATGAAGGTCCCTACAGTACATGAAATACTGATCCGTGTTGTTGGCCAACATGTAGTTGAATTGTAAAATATACACCATTGTAGAATGTAAACACCGTCAAAGTCACTATACCACCCACATTTCTAGAAAGCAAACACTAGACATGAGCTTAATGTTAGCCACGGCCATGATTGGTCTCTGATGGGCACCGCTACAACCTCATCATCCTAATGTTCCACTACGGAAACGCTCACGACTTCCTTTATTAGAAAGTTGCAGAATCATCCAATAAAAGTGTAATTCCTCGAAACAATGGGCTGTTTTTTTGGGTACGGGTATTACAATAATTTCAAAGGACAACACCAAAGGGCTTTCACTACATGAAAGAAACAGGTTTTTCTGAGTGAGGATAGATGTGGGAGTAGCAGAGGTAGGGTGGGGTTTAGCGTGGCATCCTTAGATTTAGTGCATTAGACAAATAAGGCTTCCCTGGAAGGGACATATGCAGCAACAGGGGGCAAGAAGAAAAGGTACAAGAAGGACAATTTGGGCATACAGTAGTTTTTGTAGGAGTGCCCCGGCCCTCAGCATAATAACATAACTGTTTGCTATTTGGTGTGTGCCAAAATCCCTTACAGTACCATGAGTGCTTACATTCTTAGTATGGAATCAAACCCCCAACCCTGGCAGCTAAAGCTTAAATGTCCTACACACTGAGCTCAACAGGAACATTTTTGATTTGATTGATTTTCACAAAATCTCTTCGGGGTGCAGCAAAAGTGTAGGGTAACATGAAAGGAGTGGGACTTCAACACTAGCTACATGAACAGGAACGGTCAACAGGGAGGTTCACTTAGACTAGTTCAGACCAGGGGTTGGAGAGGAGTAAATTCTCCAGTGACAAATCAGAAGGGAGATAGCAGACACCCTGAGGTGAAACAGGAGTTAAGGTATCATCCGGCCATGAACAGATTGGCATCCACATCCTGACTGAAAAGCAATCCCGGCTCCATCACTTGTGACTAAGTGGAAACTCCCTGCTGACATGGCCGGATGGATATCAAGAGCGGTGAGGTGGCAAACAGATGAAGAGGAAGAGGAAGAGGAAGAGTTGGGCTGGGAGAGCAAAGGGGTGGTGGAAGAAGAGAATATACAAATGTATGATATTTAATAGCAAAAGAGGGGATCAGAAAGGGCGAGGGATGGAAGAGGAGGGATTATATTTCAGTTCAGTCAGTGTCTAATTCTTTCTCTAAGTATTTACAATGCAATCCCTCTGATTTAGAGACTAAATCTGAAGTAATTTACCCCAATATTAAATACAAATGTAATTGTAAAGTACAATTTAATTCATTCATAATTTGCAAACAATCTGGGAGAAGAGAAAAAAAGTGACCCTCACCTGCTCTTACAAAACTTTTCAAACTGCCCTCTTTTCATCAAAAATCCCCACATTTCTCAATAATAACCATTTTTCTACAGTCTCTATATTTTTCTCATCTCTAGGAGAAAAGCTGCACGCTCCGTATAAAACCCATTTCCTGAATTGAATGAACTGAAAATTAATTCCTTCCCAGCCCTAGGAAAAAGCAAGAACTGCATCAGTGGAGAGACGCAAATAAAATAAAAATGACGTTAATCACAATAAACCATGAAGGTTGTCAATTAGGATTCAACCTGTGTTCCCTCTCCTCTTTTAGGTTACCCCAATGAGCTGTGTGTTTGTGTTATATTGCACCATGAGCTGATATGTGGCGGGCGGGTTGATTTTGAGCTTCATGCTGGGGTAAGAATTGGGAAGAACTTAACGAAACAAATACCTACACATACACGGTAAAATAACCTCACTTAATATCTACAAACACACACACAGTCATGAGCATCAATGTAAAAGGTTGAGTTAGATTGCACATACACCCTCACACATACACAGGCAAAATTAAAGTAGAAAACAGACATAATAAGAAACTCACATACACATACAGAAGATGAAGGCACTATTGCAAGCAAAGTCCAAGTACTATTTGTGACAGAAAACACCAACGCCCTCTTCCCAGTCCAGTTCTTATCCCTTGGGCTAGATATCAGGGGTCAGGGGGAAATGATTGAGGACAGAGATACACGTTTATGATTTGTTGGTGTTTTTGAGAGCATGTGAAGCTGTTTTCCTGTGAAACATGCAGAGAAAGTCAGACCTGTTCATAGGAAGTAGTTTGGGTTTGGCATTCTGTCATCTAGCTTTCCTGTCTGTCTCCGTTGAAACAGGAAGAGAGGTGCTGATTCATCTGTCCCTCCCTCACCACCTTCTCCTCTCCTATATCCCGTACATTTCTAGGTATTCAGTAAACGGATTGCCCAATAAACGTGTCAAAGTGTAGTGAACCACAATATATTGTATCTCCTGCAACGTCAACACTTTCCTATCTGTCTTTACATTGGGGAGGCGGTGGACTCCAGTGAATAACAAGTGAGTGTGACAAGACATTTGACCTTGAAGTCCTCATTTGCAGTGTGAGCTGCGGAGCGTGGTTGAGTAAACTGAATAATAAGTCGTTCCACTGTCAAGAAACTATCTAGCCCAAGGGTTAGCCACACAAACAAATACACACACATGCAGGCATGCACACACACGCACACACACACACACACACAATCATTCATGCGTTCACACTACTGTTCCCCCTCCCTTTCCCCAGGCAGCAGACAAGGCAGTACATTCAGGGTAACACAGAGTCAGTCCCTTCAGAAATCCATCGGATCCTCCTCGGCGAGGTTTTGTTTGGCAACGGTCTTGCCTCCATCTTTCGCTGGCGACCCGTCAATTTCGGGCTTGGCCACAGGGGGCGGGGTGAGTCCCGAACTTCCCGCCTGCGCACCCCAGGCGTCAGTGGTAGGCGGGAGGAAATCATCGTCGAAGCCGCAGAAGCCTTCGTCCACACCGTGGTCGTAGCGCTGGTAGGTGGAGGCGTGCACCTCGTTCTCTCGGGCCGTTTTCTCCAGCTTGCTGTTCCACATGCCGTAGCCAAAGTAGATTAGAACACCTGAAGGGACACACATATCAAAAATATATTCACAAATACATACACAATCAGAGCTTTGAGCAATATTGTAGGAGGTCATACACAAATGTAAAAGCACAGAGAAAGAGTAAATGCTCTATCAAGTGGTAAAAACAATTCAGTGAGTTGGAAGAATACAGCAGTTATTCTGTTTGTACAAAAACTGCATATATTCTGAAAACTACAAAGAAGCGACACAATGGTAAGTTGAACTGCATGCTGGGAGCATTTACACACAAACCAAAACACTCACACATACACAAACACACACACAGATAAATACAGATGTACAGACAGATACAACGGAGGCAGGAAATAAAAGTGAAATGAGACTTCATTGTTCTCCCATCGAAAAACAAACTGGCTCACAGAGCCGGTGAGAAATCGACACAGTAATGAAATGTATCACTCCATGGTTTACGATCATAACATGGGGAGTTTCCATCTATCTAGGATGACATTTACACGCAGAACCTGTCTTTAAATCTGGCAATAAAAGACACACATCTAAATGTAAGACAAACTGTTATTCAGTGAGGTGGGGGCTTACCCACGAGGCACCAGATAGAGAATCGTATCCAGGTGATGGCAGACAGTTTGAGCATGAGGTAGATGTTGACCAGCATGGCTGAAACAGGTACAAAGGGCACACAGGGCGCCATGTAGGGCAGACGCTTTGGGTTCTCTGGCTGCTGGAGGATGATGATGACGAGCAGGACAAGGAAGGTGATCATGAAGATTAACAGCAGCAGAGCCCACCAGCGACCCTCCCCAATACTGCTCGCTCCTGGAAGGAAAGAAAACAATTTGTTGAAATTCATTTAAACATTATATAGTAAACTCCTGTCTGAATGTGTTCTTGCGTTCTCACCAAAGATGATGAAGGAGCAGAAAGCGAAGATGGAAATGAAGAGGAGCAGCACACACATAGTGACAATTTTCCCCGTGGCTGGAGTGGGCCTGTCCATCTTTCCCGGGAGGCCCAATCGGATCCTCAAGGTGTAGTAGCGGGGTCCAATGAGCTTCTTCAACCGCCGGGACAAGCCGCCCTCTTCCTCTTCTGCTTCGATGCCAGTGGTCATATCCACCGTGCCGTAGTTTGGGTGGCTGGCGGTGTAGGCGTTTTTATCTGGTTTGCCTATCAGCATCTCGTTGTCCCCCAGCGACGGCAGGTTTTTGGCTCCGCAGGTGTTCGTGGCCGCGCCTCCGAACTCATCTGCTTCGCTGGTTGGTGAACAGGCTTCTTTCTCGCACTCAGCCAGCACGCCTTCCTTTTTCTTGTTGTTCTGCTCCTCAGACAGGAAGTTCACAAAGCCATGGATGTCCCCCTCAGGTTGGTAACGCAGCAGGAGCACACACAGGCTAACCTGCAGCCAGGAGGGAAAAAACGTGTTTCCATTCAAAGCAGAAGGACCCCATTGTCACCAACCACGGTAACCCCCCCCCCCCAACCTTATCACCTGAATCTCCTCATATGCCCCTTTCACACCAACGCGGTTCCAGGGCCGGTTCGGAGCTTGAGCCTGATAAGCACTGTTTTTTCCCGTTCACACCGCAGCGGAGCCGGCTCTTTTCCCCGAAAACCGGTTCTTACCAAGCACCAAAACATTTTCGGTCTAGAAGTAAGAACCGCATACGTCACGCTTACGTCGGAGGGGGGCGAGATTAACCTTAGCCAACAGTTTATTTCGAGTACAGCAAATAAAAGTTGTAACAAGCAGTAGCGCTGAGCAAAGTGACTAGAACGCAACCACACACTTGTAAAAAAACACACTTTATAAAGTCAGGCAACACTAACCAGGCTTCGTGTGATTCTGATTATTTGTACCTTACTTTGACCATCCGTTCGCTGTTATTGATCATTGTGGAGAGCAGGCAGATGTTTTGTTTTGTATTATAGCAGCTATCGGATGGAATCAATACATGGGCTCCACAGGTTGTCATGTCCGACTATCACAAGTAGAATCATAATGAAAAATACGCCGGTAAAATGTGCCTGTAGAAAACGGCCTATGCCACAATAGGATAGCAACAAGTAGTCAAGATAGTCAGTTTAGCTTTGGTTGCTATGCTAACATCACCCATTTTATATCAGAGAAACTTTCATAACAGCGTTGTGATGTCAAACAGCGTCAATTCAGACTGAAACACATCTAAAGTAACGGTACGTCGACACGGCAGCGTGCATTGAAGCTTGCTGGTGGGCGTGTCTGGAGCGCGACCAACAACCAATCGCATTAATCTCCCGCCCCGGACACACAAGCACGCAGTTTGATTGGCTAGAGCTTGTACTGGCATATGATTTGATTGGCTGGCGCTTCCGTCGACGCTTGAAAAGTTGAACTTTTCTCAACTTTCGAAGCGAGCAACGGAGGCAAAGCGACGCAACGGAACCACAATGCAGTTCGGCAAAGCGTGACGTCACCCCATTCAAAGTGAATGGGAAGCAACGCACACTGCTGTGTGGACGGGCCGTAACAGACAGAGAATCAGCACTTTTGAAACAGGGCTGAAACAGAGGGGATTATGGGATGCTACAATGATCTGTTTGGTGTTTGGAGCCAAACACTTCAGAGACATGTTTTGTATATATCTGAGACCTATAACATATTGATGAAAAACAGTATAATAGGGGACCTTTAACTTATAGCATATCAGCTAAGACTCTCTTCCTACTTGTCTTAAGTTTTCACATAATTATCATTCAAGTGTAGGAGGAATTTGTTTTCCCAGCAAAAATCTCTGGGGCATTACACAATCATTTGCTGAAAGAATGCATTTTTTATCATCTCAAAATCTCTGGAACAAATGTAAAAAATGTGATGTGTCCAGAATGATAAAACTCACCAGGGTGTAGGCCAGCAGAGTCCCTATGGACATCATCTCTATGAGGTCTCTGAGGCTGACCATGAGAGACAGCAGGGCAGCCAGGAAGCCCGACACCACACACGCCACAGCAGGGGTCTCTGTGTATGGAGACACAGTGGCCAGGAACCTGAACACACAGGAAAATAAGATTAGAGACTCAGTTTTTTTTATTTAGATTGAAGAAAATGAACACTTAATAAATTACTGACTTAAACAGCAGGCCGTCCCCTGCCATGGCATAGATGATCCTGGGCATGGGGAACAGGGACCCCAGGAGGGATACAGTGAGTCCTGCTATGGAGCCCACCGCCACGATATACTTTGCGAACATACAGCCATGCACGGCAAACATCTCCATGAGCGGAGCGTCTGCGTCGATCTCATCGTACGGCACCATCAGAGTCAGGATCACAGAAACCTGGATGGAGGAGGGTTGACAAAAGAAGTTTGTTAATTACATTTCTGTTGCTGTATAAGCTTGAACTATTTCTGAAAACTACTCATTGATAACATATTTGATTATTAAGGTTCTTTATCCACTATGTGTAGAATTTGGCGCCCCCAGTGGTAGTATATAAAAACACACTTCTGCACAGCCCAATGCAGGGTATTAATAACTCGTTTTCACAGTAAGTACGAAACCTGTTGAGGATCATATGATGTGATCAAAATCTGCAGTACAGCTACTAAACGGAACTAAATGTGTGACTGTTTCCCACCTCATCAGATTCATTTGATTAATGCTTTATTAATCATGTACTGTAAACATAAAAGCTTTAATTACTGACAAGTGTTAAGTTATATTTGCACATCCTAGCTTTAAACAGCTAGCGTGTTCAGCTCACTGCATTTCGCATCACATGCAAAATGCTCATTAGTCATTCTACTTTCTCACTGTGAGTATGTATTAGTGTGTGTGAGCGGTTTTTATCCCCGGGTCTGACGTGTTAAATCATGCAGGGCCATCTGTCACAGCTACTGTGCTGCAATAGAGAAGGATCTGCTTGAGCAGCTTGCAGAAAAGAGAGTGGCACAATAAAAAAGACTAACCCTGACAGAGAGGAAGATGTAGAGATCATCTTCCTCATGGTGATCATGGTGCTCTTTAACCCTCCGACCAATCAGAGCACAGGCTGGGGGACAGTGTGAGTGAACCGGTCAAAGGGGACTCTACTAATCTACCAGGAACCCTGCGACAAATGGTTTACATGTGTGTTTGAAACTGCTTCTTACTGTGAGTATTTGAACCAGCTGTCGGCACATTTTTTGAGCTTGCATATACATTAGGTTAGACTCGAGCTACCCAACGTGAATAAGTCGTTGTAAGGAAATGTAACCTGGAAAAACATGAAAACACACAGGAGAATCCATACTTATTCTGACAATGTTGATGAAGCTACAGTGTGTCTTAAACCCAAGCCACCAAAGAAAACATGACATGTTATTTGCTTAGTGATTAAAGTTATTCTGGATCTTAAAGGATTCTGACTAGAGCAAAGATATCGAAGTTAAAATATCTAAGATGCCTACGGAGTGAGACGGATCAAAGAACGATGGAGATTAAGAGAGGCTGAGAGAAAAGACCATGGTAAGACAAGGGTAGAGTTATTTGGAGGAATGGGTGTGACTGGGAGACAGAGAGAAAGAGAAGGAGGAGGTATTCAAAGAGAAGTTTTAAAGTTGATGTAATCCTTGGCCCCAGATGGTTTGGAAAGATTCCCCCTCCTGATTGGCTGCTGTTACATGGTACCCATAGCAACAACTTTCCAGTACATATGTGTCAAAGTCAGAAATCTGGAAGGCTGTGGGAGCAAAGATGAGAGATGAGACACACACCCACACAGTGTGAGCGCAGGGGGAACATCTTGACATTTGATCTTCAGATCTTTGTTTTTCAAACACTCTCGCAATAACAACTTGGGATGTCACTTATTAGACGCTTTTATCCAACGCGACTTACATACACTCAATACTGTTGAGGATTCAATTGCATTGCTTCTGTTTCAAAATGTTTTCAAAAACTAAGCAAGGGTGTATATTACTCGGTGATTGTAGCCTGTTCATGTGATCTGATTCGACTGTCAAGTAAAACAAGTATTCACTAACATTGGAGTCGGTGAGCCATGTTCAAATCTCTCCTCATCACAACTGATCTATTTGCTGTAGTGATACTTTGAATGACAAGATAAGGGTTTGGCATCCACAGCCCATTTCTCACTTCTAAAATGATAATAATAACGAGAAACAAATGGAGACTTTTACTTTGTGTTTGTGTACACAGTGGGTCTGTGTTCCTCAAGGTAACTTACAGAGACGTAGGCAGTGAGGCAGGTGATAAGTGAGGCAGTGATGGCGTAGGGGATGGAGGTGTTGGGACTCTTGGCCTCCTCTCCTGTTGTAGCAATAATGTCAAATCCAATGAAGGCATAGAAACAGGTGGCGGCACCCTGCATCACCTGGAACAGGAGAAGATAACGCTTACATTTAATTTTCATTTAATTTAATTTGTATTTGTTCCGTTCATGGTATGCACAACTTAATGTATAACAATTATTCACAAAACATGTCTCTATAAACACACCATACCCGAAAAGGAGCAGGGAGAAGAAAATCATCTTATATTACCTGCCCCTTTCTAAAAATAAATAAACAGAAATAGATGGTCCGTCATTCATATTTTCTTATTCACAGCCAATCATAACAGTATTGTAGGAAATTAAGAGAAACACAAAAACGTACAAAACTAAATACTTAGTTCCCACTTGACAGAAAGAAACAGAACATACATAGAGAACATCAGCAGACCTTCCTTCCATGTAACTCAATTTGCATGTGTGTGTGTGTGTGTGTGTGTGTGTGTGTGTGTCACTTGTCACTTGTCACTTGTTAGACGCTTTTATCCAAAGCGACTTACATACTCAATACTGTGGATAATCCCCACAGGAGCAATTTGGGGTGAAGTGTCTCAGGGACACAACGACATGCTGACTGCAGTGGGGTTTGAACCTGTGACCCCCTGATCCGAACACCAACGCACAAACCACTGCACCACATGCCTCCCCTGTGTGTGTGTGTGTGTGTGTGTGTGTGTGTGTGTGTGTGTGTGTGTGTGTGTGTGTGTGTGTGTGTGTGTGTGTGTGTGTGTGTGTGTGTACGTGTGTGTGTGTGTGTGCGTGTGTGCGTGTGCGTGTGCATACCCCCGACCAGCCGAAGGGCAGGAATCTCCCATCGTCCCAGTTCTCTCCGTTGACGAAGAACAGCCCGGCGATCATCATGAACACCCACACTGCGAGGTTGATGACGTTCAGCACGTTGTTGAAGCCCACAGAGTTCTTCACTCCCAGAGCCACGATGACCGTCACCAGCAGAGCGATGACCAGCGCCAGCAGGTCGGGGTACGACTGCTCGCCTTTACCTGAAACCACAGATGCTGTAGTTGTGATAGCAGCAGTGGGGAATGCACATTTGCACTGTAAAGCAATCAAATCAAACTTTATTTGTATAGCCCAATACCACAAAACACGTTTGTCTCAGTGGGCTTTACAGATAAAAACAAACGACAACATTGTATATGATGGAGTTACAGCTAAATGAGAAGACAAGATAGTGTGTGGAATACAAATAGAAATAAACTAAATAAAATAAGATACAACAAAAGACAATAAAAATACATAAAACATTCAAATTAACCATAGAAATAAAATAAAATGAAAACCATAAAATGCCAGCTCTAACTGAAGGCTTTGTTTAAAATGTAGGTCTTCAACGCACTCTTAAAGGTTTGGACATTCTCTGGGTGTTTCTCAATCGCGTGTACGCTTGCTTGGTAGCACATGTCTTCCGAGTCACTTCCTTCAGAAGCTAGGCAAGAATCCTTCCTGGCATTCGGAAAATGAAGAGTGGAACAGGCTAGCAAGTGTGCAGGTGTGCGTCATATGAGAGGCCCCGCCTTACATTTTCCGCCACAAATTTGGGGAAATTGGTCCGTGCGCAAAGCATTGTGGGGATTTTAAGGACGCGAAGTCTACCCATGTGCAGCCTCGAAATTTCCCCCAAACCAAGGACGCGGCCTCGGTGGAATTCCAAGTATGCTGGACATTGGAACGGTCCTGCTGCGCCACTTGATGACGTAGCATCCTTGAAATATTGGCTTGGAAGCCAATATCGTCGCGATTGAAAAACGGCCTCTGCCTCTCTGATTAAAACAGGAAGTTGGTTCCAGAGAAAGGGAGCTCTGAACGCTCTGACACCTGATCTTGTTTTGCAGACTATGGGCTCCACTAACAGACCTGCACCCTGGGAGCGTAATGTTCTGGCGGGGCAATAGTGGATTAAAATATATTTTAGGTAAGACGGTGCCTGAACATTTAGCGCTTTGTAAGTTAAAGGTCTCCTTTCATGCTATTTTTAGGCATATATTATAGGTTTCAGATATATAAAAATATATTAAAAAAACATGTCTAGGAAGTGTTTTGCTCAAAATACCAAACCCATTCTAGCCATGCCTCATATCGCTCTATTTCAGCCCTTTTACTAAAGTGCTGATTTTTTTTAAGAGGGGGCGGAGCTTATGCCTGCTCACATTTCCGATATTACATCATATCGGCAGCAAATCTGGATCAGCTCCGTTGTACCTCCGTTTTTAGAGAGATTTGCGCACGGAGGAAAAGAGAGAGGGTTTGGTTTTCTGACACACCGGGGACAGATATTTATGTTTAAAAGACATCAAAAAGTGCATTTAGCATGATAGGTCCCCTTTAAAATAAGTATTTTAAAATCAATTCTGTGCTTTACTGGTAGCCAGTGTAGACCTGCAATATCATTAGTTGCTATTTAACATAACTCTGCTAAGTCTTTATAAATACACACACACAGGTGGCCAAACAGAAACTAACGAGACATATTTTGAGTTATATTTCCCTTACTTTCCTGCAGTTAGGAGTAACAGCCGTTTATCTCCAGCAGGAAAAGGAAAACGTGAACTTTCCATTATGGATGGGAACAGCTGGCCATGCTGCTTACCATGTGACTAATACCTCTGCTGTGTCAGTGTCCGACAGGAAGCGGCTGTCAGGGTGGGGTCACACAGAGAGACACCCCTGGCACACACATCAGCTCTAGTGTAACACCACAGAGGCAGGCAGTCCCCTCATGGTACGTTTACAACCTGGAAAACTATGTTCCATGAATCATTTAGAAATACAAGATGCTCCGTCCTCTATTTCTCTACATAATGACACAATTTCCGAGATAAGAATCAAAACATTGTTTGGACGCTCCGTGGTAATATTCTGATACGGTTTGGATGATTTCCCAGATAATGTTGCAATCACTTTTTCCAAAACAGGACATCAAGCCACTGTCATGCAAACTGTGTCCAGTGATACAGATAACAGTGTGCTTCTGTTACATGTTGAGAAGGCAATTTATGACAGAAAACAAACATTACTGCAAGAATAAAGAATGACAGCAAAGATATTAAATCTGTTTCTTTGGTTCAAACGGTTTGTAACGCAGCCCAGGAGGACTCAGGTTCAAGCCAATACGAAGGTGATATTTAAAGACAGAATCTAAGATGAAGCTTTGATGAAAGACGGGGAGTAAAAGGCATACTTTTCGCTTAGATTTCGATTGGGTGAATGTCTGTTTTTGAAGCAATCACTGCTTGACAGTAGACAGTTGGCTGATAAATAATAAGCTGTAGATAAAAAGTGGAAGATAATGACGTGAAAGGATTCACTTTTCTAGTGCAAACATCAAAATGTTTTTTGAGATCTTATTTGCATTTGTAAATAGAAAATAAAATAGCAAAAAGTAGAATTTGCTATTCCAAAGTCATTTTTTCCAAGCAAGAAACATTTCATTTTTTTTAAAGTTTATTATTAGTTTAACTCTGTTGTTTAGTATTAATTGACGCAAGTACTGTACACAAATTAAACATTACCTTTATCTAATATTCATCCAAATTCCTAAACTAAAATCAGAGGAAATCATATTTTTTCAACCTTAAAGGTCACCTATTATGCAAAATCCACTTTTCATGTCTTTTATACATCAACATGTGTCCCCTCTGTGTAAAGAGATTCTGAAAGTTTCAGGAAAAAAGATTCTCTCACTTTTTGTCCTGATCCATTTCTAAAAAAACCTGTCTGAAAATGAGCTGATCAGATTTTGGCCACTTTATGATGTCATAACGATGTTTTGGCTTGTGTAACCATTAGCCAATCACCAACCAAGGTAACCCCCCCCCCCACCTTATCACCTGAATCTCCTCCTAGAGCACCATTGTGTTCTTTTTACCCAAATATCTCTCAGAGGGGCGTGGGGAGGGGCTCCTTATTTTCATCTAAAGCAACAGACAGAGAATCAGCACTTTTGAAACAGGGCTGAAACAGAGGAGATTATGGGATGCTACAATGATCTGTTTGGTGTTTGGAGCCAAACACTTCAGAGACATGTTTTGTATATCTCTGAGACCTATAATATATTGATGAAAAACAGTATACTAGGGGACCTTTAATGGCAAACTAAAGCTGTTGCCGGCACACATCCTTCCTCACTCACCTAAGCCGTTGAGCGTTCCGATGTGTGTGATCATAAAGTTGCTGATAGTGTGATTGGCCAGTGAGTCCGCCATGCTGCTGAGAGCCGACGCCCCCGCGGCCGTGCCGATCAGATACTCCAGGATCAAGTTCCAGCCGATGAAAAACGCCACGCACTCGCCCACCGTCACGTAGCTGTAGGTGTAGGCCGATCCTGTGGTCTTAGGCACGCGCACGCCAAACTCTGCATAACACACTCCTGTGGGACGGAGGAGAACACAGACACACACATCAGTGAAAGGACTGCATTATCATCCAATTGAAAGATGTTGGATTATAGATAGGAGACGATACTGTAGGTAGTACTAAAACATCCCCTGAGTGCCTTTTACATTATAGCTTTGCCCTAATAATGTATTTGCCCATGATCGTATTGCAGGCTCTTAATATAAATCATATCAGTCTAATTGTGATAAAAACGGCAGTAACCTTAATGCTTTGTGTGTGCGTGTGCGTGTGCGTGTGCGTGTGTGTGTGTGTGTGTGCGCAAAAGAGAGACAGCAGAAAAAAGTTGCAATGTGCATTTTCTCACCCGACAGTATGGAGGCCACAGCGGCGATAATGAAGGACACAATGACCCCCGGACCGGCCATCTCCTTGGCGACCAGTCCAGAGACCACGTACATCCCCGTCCCCACGCAGCTGCCCACGCCCAGCGACACCAGGTCCACGGTGGATAAGACCCGGGCCAGTTTGGTCCCATGAGCGCCTGTGCCCGTCGTGGCTGAATCCAACATGGACTCCACCGGTTTGGTCCTCAGGACGCGGGACGTGAAGGTGTTCCACGTGGAGCGCCATTGTACCCTCCGAGGGTCTAGCTTCACTAACAGACTGCTCATAGTGAGAGCTCAAGGTCAAGGGTCAGAGTCAAAGGGAAGAAGAGCAGGAAGTTCTTTGATACTCTTCTCTTAAGTTCACTGTTTCCTTGGACGCACTGTGGAAAAAGAATATTCCTTTTCCAAATGATGGTATATTCAAAAGAAGGATCTGTTGTGTTGCTGCCCTTGCCTCTTGTCTCTTTTCCAGGTTTAGTGAAATGCCATCGTAGTTGTTCCCCACATGGTGAGAAAGCTATCTGAAAAACAAAGGGAAAATGATTTATCGTTTCAGCATTTCACAGCACATTGCCTCATATTATTGTTCACACCATGCTTACTTTCATGCACGCCAAGACACAGGAGCCCAACAGAGGAGACATATTTTCCCACAAATGAAGCGTAACTAACTAGGAAGCAACTAATTAGCAGTGCTCTGCCTGCAGCCCTGTTGCTATAGTAGCCAAGCTCATTAGAGATGACAATGGATGCTAAACCTTTTTTCTTGTTTCTAAGTGTGAGAAGGGGCTTTACCTGTACTCATATGTCTACTTAACCTCCCTCCAATGTAGAAATGAAAGAAAGGGCTTTCAGGATTTAATTTAATTCTACTGCTTGGTGGCATTATATTCAGAATAATTGTCCCGGTTCATTTTAGGCTCCCTTTACGAATGCATACATGTAGTTCAGTAATACTTTACATGATAACATATTTAAGATACTTGCAATTTACCTGAGTTTATGTGTTTTGTACTCCTGTCTACCTTTACTCATTACATTTAAAGGGGACCTATCATGCAAAATGCACTTTTGTACGTCTTTTATACATGAATATGTGTCCCCGGTGTTCCAGGGAACTCACCAAGTGTCAGAAAACACAACCCTCTCTATTTTCCTCCATACCCAAATCTCTAAAAAAGGGGCTGCAACGGATCTGATAAAAACTGATCCAGATTTGAACACTGTCCTGACGTCAGGACGGTGGCGCTACGGCTATTGGGCCAACTCCACCAATCAGGAGGAGACAGCCACGGCCATTGCCGTTCGAAAGCGCTGGAGACGCTGTAGTACATATGCCAGGCCTGTAGATGGTGCTGAATCTGCTCAGAGCTAAACATTGTCAAATTGAGCAAAATGAGGCATGGCTAAAATGCATGATCTGTTTGGTATTTTGAAAAAAAAAAAGTATAAATATGCCTTATATAGGTATGGTCCTACACTATATTATTCAAATATAGCATGATAGGTCCACTTTAAGATTGTACATTTAAAACGTAACCCTGTAAAATACAGGTTACAAAACAGTCATATCTGTATTTGTCAAATAAAATGAAAATAAATTATCAGCCAAAGAAGTCAGAAATCTAAAAAAATGACCCACCAGTTTGTCTATGCCATAATTAAAATATATAATATAACAAACTAAAATGAGATGATGCTCACAGGGTCCGTTATTCTATATAATGATACATTTTTTGTTTTTTAATAATTTTTGTACATAAAACAACCAAACTTATTTTTTGACCGCATGACTTTTACTTGAAAATGTCTGAGAAATAAAAATAGTTTGTATAATTATACTGCAGCTACAATGCAAAAGCCACTAAACTGTGCTTGGTTGTTTTAAATATTTTCAACATCATATTGAATCAACCAATGGAAAAGGCTCTGTGTTAAACATATGTGCAGCAGCACAACATACCACAGGAACATGGAGCTGAATGGGATTCTAGGCAGGCAGTAAATCAATTCATAACTGAAGCTCTTTTGTGTAGAATAATTGCGACAATTATGTATAATGTTTTCGAACTACTTCAAACCGCAGAGGCTATAAAATACTTTACTACAGCTTTTGAACAGAGCCTCTGATGTCATATGAGTAACTGCTGTTGAAAGGACAGCTATAATTGTCATCAAATGTAGTCTCTCTTTCGTTCTCTCACTCAACATCAGCGAACTAACAATCACCATTCATCCACTTTGAACAACAGGCGCAAGTTACTGAACAAACACACACTCACACACAGTGCACTCACACTGCCTCTCGGCTCTAATATGAGCCACTCAAATAATGGCTGCAATTACCCAGCTGTTTAACCAGAGAGCGCCGGGGCTGCTATTGTCGCTGCACTTAGTGCGAGAACGAGTGTGTGCAGAGGTAGAAAAAGCTCTAAAGGTGATTTCATGTGTGTGTGATGGTGAGTGTGGGGTGGAGCGGGGGCTATTAAACCATCACAAGCTCACCTGCATCCTGATTATACTGCAATAAAAATGTGATTTCACTCTTTACCCTGACTCAAAAGTGAGTGAGTGAGTATGGAACTGTCCCACAAACACAAGTGCAGCCATTTTAGTGTTAATAATTCCACATTCTTCTCCTGTTTTCACTCGTGGTCAAAACTTCAGGCTGCAAATAAAGAGTATTTGCACATTTTTTCCAATAAAACGTGTTACAAGATCTTTTGAATTATTTTGTCTGGTCGCACTTTGACCTTCACTAAGAGGACCAGTTCTCATAAAGGTACATTTCAGCTTATTTGTGTAGTTCAGAAATCAGAATCAGAATCAGAAACAGGTTTATTACCAGGTAGGTTTAGACGTACGAGGAATGACTTGATGTCATGGTGCATAAAAACAAGAATTAAAAACACAGGTAGAAAAAATATAAAAAATTATAAAAAATATACTCAAATATAACAGTATTTACATTGCAATGGAATGGAATAGAAGGAATGAAATATGGAATAAAAATCAGCAGTAATGCAAAATATTGTTGTGTATTATGTGCATTAATGTAATGCATAGAGTCTGCGTTGTGGCTGAGGTAAAGTGTCAGTGGGGGGGCCCAGCAGATGACGTTATGGCAATACTGAGACAGGAGTACCGTCACAGGAGCAAAGCAAAGTACTGCTGATGACGGGGGTAAGAGAAAATTGTATTTGAACCACCTAAAATAAATCTTGCCTTCAGACAGCCCCGTCGCTATCTCTCTTCAAAGCCACCGGACACCTTTGACAAAAACAGGAAGATCACAGGTTTGCTGATCTCCTGCTGCCTCGGTCTGTGGCTGCAGTTGGTCTGTGTTGTTGTGTGAGCTTTGTGTTTCAAAGGGTGAGTTTGGATTCACTAAAGGAACAAAGTAACAGTCCACAATGAAGTACAAACAATGGCAGCCATACTGTACTGTAGGTAATACACTGACTAAGGACAAGTGCCTGTTACAAACCCACTTCAAAAAACTGCGCTATTCCCTTTAACGGCCTATTGTGTTTCATATTGCAATTAAGTGGCCTGAAAACACGACTGAACAATTTGCACTAGTAAGAGCGTGCTTCTCTTCAATTTAGCAACAACAATTATATCATGCTGTATACGAGTTAATACCATACAAAATGAAATTAGGCTTTTTAGTTCATTTACCCTATGACTAACATTGTATGTGTGTGTGTGTGTGTGTGTGTGTGTGTGAAATGGCCAGACAGCCCTTAACAGCTATAATTGGAGACTCTGATACCTTTGCACGTATCCAATCACAATCAGCTAAACTGGAAAAAAAGAGTGTCCATTGGGAACAAAATACGTACACACACACACACACACACACACACACACACACACACACACACACACACACACACACACACACACACACACACACACACACACACACACACACACACACACACACACACACACACACACACACACACACACACACACACACACACACACACACACACACACACACACACACACACACACACACACACACACACACACTTTCATGATTCAATATCACAAGCTTGTTTTTCTCAACATCTGTGACATTTTAATGGTCTCCTTCTAGTTTCATTGACCACCACCGGCCCTGTGCTGGTGGAGCTATTTGAACAGTCGTAGATCAACAACACGATCTGCACAAAGCGTGGTGGCAGCAGGTGTTCCATCAGCGCTGGCGGACTTCACTTCACTAACACAGTCCTCCAGGGGATAAAGGTTAGTCTAAGAGCATTTAACCTTTATAGAACCAAGGCTTATGTGACTTCTAGAAAATAAGGTTTTCACTCTAAACTCTACAATTAAACTAAACAAGGAATGATTAAATAGAATTAAATATTAAATCACTAACAACAAACAAAACATCTGTTTGCCTGTACATTGCACAGGGCTCGGCCACATTTGGGTTTGAGTTAGAAACTACTGAAAAGAGCTAACCACGGGCCCCAAACAGGACCCCATGATGTTAGGAGGTCAGTGTCACAGTGGTCAGGAGTGGATCAAATGCAGCGCGGAGCTTCAGCAATCTGAACTGATGCTAACCTCTTAATCCACCAAGGCCATGTGGTTTCCGATCCGGTGCAGATAAAGACCCAGGTACATACCCAGGCATCACTTCATTTACTTAGTCAAAATAGTACAGGAATCACATGATGTTATGTTATCAAGTTTAAATGTGTATACTTTTCTATTCATATAATTAAAGCATGAGATGTGTGTAAGGTATGTGCTCTCTAGCTTTCAGTAACATTGCAGTGGCTGATGCAGACAGCCTTTTAATTATACTTTGACATTTTGGAAAATATCCTTTGCTCTCTTGCCAAGAAATAGATTAGAAGATCAATAGCACTTTGGATCTGGAGCCAGGAGGCGAATAGCTTAGCTTAGCATAAAGACTGAAGGCAGGGGGAAACCTGGCTCTGTCCAAAGTAGATTCTTGTCATTAAAGTGAGGTTATCCAAGGTAAAACTGGGTTCTTTATTACATTACATTACATGTCACTTTTTAGACGCTTTTATCTAAAGCGACTTACATACTCAATACTGTGGACAATCCCCACAGGAGCAATTTGGGGTGATGTGTCTTGCCCAGGGACACAACGACATGCTGACTGCAGTGGGGTTTGAACCTGTGACCCCCTGATCCGAACACCAACGCACAACCCACACGCCTCCTTTATTGTGCTTGCAGTTTGTTCCTGCCTCAAGTCGTTATGCTAAGCTAGGCTAAGCACCTTGTGTCTTCAGCTCCATACGGTGCAAATGAGAGTGGTATCAATCTCTTCATCTAACCCTCAGCAATGAAGCAAATATTTCCCAAAAAGTCAAACTATTTCTTCAAGCTACATTTCTTTGCAACATTTGCATCATAGTGCTCAGTGATAATCTTCTGAGCACAGAATAAAGTGCCAGAGGCGACGTTAGCTACTGAATTATTTAACATAGTGTGGGCGAAGGCAATACATTTTATATTTAAAACGTAG